TATTATTATTCCATTATTATTATTATTATTATTTACTAATAATTGATTTTATTTCAATTATTAAATCATTTTTATCTCAACTATATTATTATTATTATTCCATCATTATTATTATGACTATTAGTTACTAATAATTGATTTTATTTCAGTTATTAAATCATTTTTATCTCAACTGTATTATTATTATTCCATCATCATTATTATTATTATTAGTTACTATTAATTGATTTTATTTCAATTATTAAATCATTTTTATCTCAACTATATTATTATTATTCCATCATCATTATTATTATTAGTTACTAATAATTGATTTTATTTCAATTATTAAATCGTTTTTTATCTCAACTATATTATTATTATTCCATCATCATTATTATTAGTTACTATTATTTGATTTTATTTCAGTTATTAAATCATTTTTATCTCAACTATACTATTATTCCATCATCATTATTATTATTATTAGTTACTATTAATTGATTTTATTTCAATTATTAAATCATTTTAATCTCAACTATATTATTATTATTCCATCATCATTATTATTAGTCACTATTATTTGATTTTATTTCAGTTATTAAATCATTTTTATCTCAACTATATTATTATTCCATCATTATTATTATTATTAGTCACTATTATTTGATTTTATTTCAATTATTAAATAGTTTTTATCTCAACTATGTTATTACTATACCATCATTATTATTAGTAGTTACTAATAATTGATTTCATTTCAATTATTAAACCATTTTTATCTCAACCTTCACCTCTCCTTACCCCACTAATTACCCCCAGGGGTAGGGGGGAGGGTGAGCGAGCGGCTGCCTGATACTCCGCAGCCTGATGGGTTCAACCATGACACCCCCTCTTCCCTCGTCCTGCCCAGCCTGGGTGGGGTTTCCTCTGCTCCCCCCGGGACAGGGGACACCCCGGAAGGGCAGGGGGCTGTTTGGGGAAGGTGGGGTCACCCCGGGATGTTTTTAGCACCCGAGATGTGCACAGCACATTAACCCCGTGAGCTTCCACCCCGCGCACGGGGAAGCCCAAGGGCTCGGTCTGTGTGGATCAGCCGGGGTGTTTGAGATGAGAGGAGCTGCTGGGGGGAATCCAGGGAAGATCCAGGGTCCTGCCAGGACCTGGTGCTGGAACATGGCCAGAGAAGGGACAAGGGAGCTGGGGAAGGGTCTGGAGCACAAGTGTGCTGAGTTCCCTTGTGGCTGAGGGAACTGGGGGTGTTGAGCCTGGAGAAAAGGAGGCTGAGGGGAGACCTTGTGGCTCTGTGCAAGTCCCTTGGAGGAGGGTGGAGAGAGGTGGGGGTGGGTCTGTTCAACCAAGGCCCAAGGGACAGGACAGGAGGAAATGGGCTCCAGTTGTGGCCAGGGCAGTTGAGATGGGATGTGAGGAAGAATTTCTTTGCTGCAAGGGTTCTGAGGCATTGGAAGGGGTTGCCCAGGGCAGTGGTGGAGTCCCCATCCCTGGAGGGATTGAAGAGTCGTGTAGACACAGTGCTGAGGGACATGGGTCAGTCATAGGGGACTGGTCAGTGTTGGGTTCATGGCTGGACTCCAGGAGCTCAAAGGGCTTTTCCAACCACCACTCTGGTCCTGTCAGGCTGTGACCCCCCAGCAGCCCCCTCCCCTGTGGGGCTCACCCTGCCGGAAGCTGGAGTCGACGGGGGGGTCGGACCCCAGCCCGTTGCTGGGGGGTCTGCAGCTCAGGTCGATCAGTTGATGGAGACGAAGTTTCCTGCAATAAATGGAAGCGGCTTCGGGCTCCAGCGCGATCAGCAGCTGCTCCGGCTTCTCTGGGGACACCAGACCAGCCTGTGGGGACAACGGGGTGTCACGAAGGTGCTGAGCATCCCATGGGTGCTCCTGCCCATCCCAAGGAACCAGTGGTGGCACCAAGCACTCAAGGGACATCCCCAACCCATGTCCCCATCCCCAGTGCCACCCTCTTGCTGCACCCCCAGCTCCAAAGTCCTCCCACCTCATCAACACCAGGTTTCAAAGCCCATCAGCCAACGTCCAGATCTTATTCCCTGGGCTACCAGGAGAAGCCAGAGACCCTTTGTGAGGTGGGCAGCACCCAGAGGGAGAGGGAGGACGGAGCACAGCCCCTGGTGAGGGTCACGGTGTGGAACAGCCCCCCCGGGGTCTCCTCACCTTGTAGGCAGCTTCTCGCATGAACTGCTTGGCTGGTTGCTTCCAGATGGCCGGCACCGTGATCACCCAACGGATGGCATCTCTCTCAGGCAGGGATGGACACTGGTCCTTCAGCTCCTGATGGGGAAGAAGCAGTGGGTGACATCTCCCTAAGTGACCCACCACCCAAGGCTGGAGCATCAGGGCTCTTGGTGAAGGGTGAGGAAGCAACGTTCATCAAGGATGACCCAATGTTCCTCAAGGATGACCCAACGCCCACCAAGGATGACCCAACATTCACCAAGGATGACCCAACGTCTGCCAAGGATGACCCAACACCCACCAAGGATGACCCAACGTTCACCAAGGATGACCCAACGTTCACCAAGGATGACCCAACGTCCGCCAAGGATGACCCAACGTCTGCCAAGGATGACCCAACGCCCACCAAGGATGACCCAACATCCATCAAGGATGACCCAACGTCTGCCAAGGATGACCCAACACCCACCAAGGATGACCCAACGTTCACCAAGGATGACCCAACGTTCACCAAGGATGACCCAACGTCCACCAAGGATGACCCAACGCCCACCAAGGATGACCCAACATTCACCAAGGATGACCCAATGTCCATCAAGGCTGACCCAGTGTTCACCAAGGATGACCCAATGCCAACCAAGGATGACCCACACGCTCCATATGAGGTTGGAGAGGAGGGTGGTGTGATGATCCAGGAGAGCTGGTGTGGGTCATACTCAACATTTATCAAGGATAACCCAATGTTCACCAAGGATGACCCAACGCCCACCAAGGATGACCCAACATCCATCAAGGATGACCCAACGTCTGCCAAGGATGACCCAACACCCACCAATGATGACCCAACGTTCACCAAGGATGACCCAACGTTCACCAAGGATGACCCAACGTCTGCCAAGGATGACCCAACGCCCACCAAGGATGACCCAACATCCATCAAGGATGACCCAACGCCCACCAGGGATGACCCACACACTCCATATGAGGATGGAGAGGAGGGTGGTGTGATGGTCCAGGAGGGCTGGTGTGTGTTTTGGGGTGTCCCACCTGCACGGCGTGCTGCTTGAAGAAACGGAGCGCGTGGGCGAAGACCTCCAGCGCCTGCATCTTCTTCCCATTGACAGCTTCGAGCTCAGTTGTCATGGTGAGATCCTGCCATGGAGAAAGAGCAGTGACAGCATCAAGAAGGGTGGTGGGACGTGGTTGACATCTCACCCTGTGCTCCGTTGGTGAGCCTCTGGCAAGGTGCTCATCTCCTTCGTGCCAAACAAACCAGCTGGGACATGGACACCCAAAATGCTGCTCTGCAGCCACATCCACCTGCCCCTGGGTGGGGGGGACCCCAAATTCCTCCCTCTGCCAAGGGTGGAAGCGTTGCCACCTGCAAAGGGTGGGTAGAGCACATGGGGAGCGTGGTGGGACGCTGGTGGTCAGAGGTTTGGCTTGTAGCCCCTCTCCATCCCCTCCAGATCTCTCCTCCCCGTGGTGAACCACAAAGCAGGAGGAACCCCCAGGACCAGCCTGGCCAAGGTCCCCTGAGGAGGTCGGGGTGGCAACAGGGACTTACGCTGGTGCTGTGAATCTTCATCTTAAACTTCTCAAAGTAGAGCCAGTCCCGGGCTTCCTCAGGGTCCAGGTCGTGGTAGTAGTCCCTGGCAGTGTAGCCAAAGCTGTGGAAGATGCCTTCTGGTGTCAACAGGAGACTGGTGGGGGTCTTCTGGTTGGCCACCCCTGGGTCACCTCCTTCCCATTTCCTGCAAACAGGAGCCATGAACCTCATGGAATCATGGAGTGGTTGGATCTGGAAGGGACCTTAGAGATGATCCAGATGGACTTTAAGGTCCCCTCCCAACCCAACCCATTCCATGATCCCTCATCCATGATGCTGTGGATGTTCAATGCCCAACCTGGCTCCATCCCTTCCTCCCAGTAAGCCCAGTTCCAACCATTTTGGGCAAAAAGAAGTCGTTTACCAGCCCTGGGAAGAGCTCCTGGACCTCTGGCTGCTCCTCACCTCATCATGTGGATGGACTCGGGGTCGCTGGAGAAGCTGAAGGCGTAACCGCTGGATGTGGTGCCGAAGTCGATGG